GGGGTTTGACAAAAGCTTTTAAGCTTAAGAGATTGGTTTGTTTTCATAATTTCCATCTTATGTTGGAAAGATGTGCGAGTCCCGTCTCCGTTTAGAATATTGTCAGCGGAAGGGTAGTCCAGAAGGTCCTGCCGGTACTGCTTCAGACTTGTTCTTTCTTTGCGCTGTTACCAAAAGCTTCGATTGCCTTTACATTCAAAAATCTTCCTGTAAAGCTGCTCTGCAACTGCTATTGGCTATGCTCGAGATGTGATGTATTTGGCAACCGTGCTCTCCTCCTCTTAAACAGATCCTTTGTGGCTTTAAATTGGCTCCAAGTTTCTTTTTTCAGAGCAATGAGGTACTCTCATCACAGGCGTTTAGTCGTCTGAGAAGCAGGTCGTAGTCCTTGTTGAGTCCTCGTCGATGAACCGCAAATGGTCAGAAGCTTCTTGACGCGTCATGTACGGTTCCCCTCAAACTGTGAAGGTCTTCCCTTCCATCACTCGGATGATCACACTTTTGTTAGACGGAGGCGGTGATCTAAACCACTGCTGAAGGATAGTACACTAAAACGTCCAGTAATCACCACCTTCCATTGATGGGAATGTGGCCGATTTCCGATGAGTCGTACCGTTGAGTGGCTCCATCCATCGCCAATGTTCTTTCTTTATGAAGATGGATGCCATGAAAAGTTGTGCGGCGAATAAGAGCCCAATACGGGTACTCTTCTCATTGAAGAGTCCTAATCCAGACTATATTCTATGCTCACCTTCTTCTTGCTCCCAATTTTCCCATAGACACGACGAATTTGTATAAGGAAATCTCTTTTTTCAAATCCCATAAAAAGCGTCTATTTCCGAGTTGAGGATTTTGGAGCACTTAATGATAGTGATTTTCTTATGCAGAGGACGGAGCCGAACCTGGCCAAGCGAGCTGATGGAGTCTCATGCAAATCGACAATATGGACAACATATGGGTGTACGACAAATTCAACGCTTCCGAAGTTCCATGGTGGAACGTCCTTACACGAATAATGATTT